GCGGATCCAGGCAGGTGGCTGGAGGGGGTATGGGTCTCTCGCTCTCCGACAGCACAGGCAACGGTGATGCAAAAACCCGGGTCTAAAGCTAAAACTAAAGTAAATTAAGCCTAAAGTAACTCCTAAGTAGCAGTGTGTTACAACTCTATTCCTAGTTTTTGCATAGTTCCTGGGCGGGAGGAGATCCTCCTCCCCACCCTCGCCGCTCACGCCTACCCCCTCCTCCGTCGCCTCGACAGGAATCCGTCCTGGATCCGTCTATACTCAATAACGTCCAGTGGCTAGGATACAGATAGTGTAATGGATAACACGTCATGATTCGAAGGATCTGGGGATAATGAAGGTGAGTGGAAGGCTCGATTCCCTCCCGGTGTGCAACTCTTCAAAAATGAGAGAGTGCCAGCTCAAAGTATAGCAAAGACTGTGTGAAAGTTCTGTGGAAAAACGCAGAGCTGGATCCAGTAATGCTCTAATTAAACACAGGAAAAAACGAGTTATATGTTTAACGCGGTTACTGCTTCTCTTTTTTTTTGCAGTCCGTGGCAGCTGTGCAATAACCGAAATGCCTACTTTCTCGTACGCCGATGTGGCTAGCGGTAGAAGATTGTTGCATTCATGTGAATCGCAGTGCAACCAAACTGCTCTTCCATCTACCAGTTCGGTAAGTTTTTTTAAGCTCAAAAAAAAACAAAAAGATTTTTTGCTGCAGTAGGAGAAAATACTGGCAGTGAGAATCAGTCCGTTGTGGTGTAATTACTTCGGAATCCGGTCTACTTCCTCGGGAAACCTTGCTAGTAAATTATCAGTATTTTTGGTGTACCGCTTATAAATGTGGCAGATCAGATTGCCCTTTCTTCGAATATGACATTTGGGGGTTTCCTTTCACCGAAAAGGTTTTTTTTTCCCGAAAACTGCTGGGGTTCATCTCTCTGCCTGGAGTGCCAGATGAACTGAATGTCGAAAGCTTTCCAAATTTCATACCCTTTGGATTTGATGAGTTCGTTGTTGATGCCATTACTATTGGAGAATATCCATTTCTCATGCGAAATCCTACCGCGCTAATATTCGGTATTATTATCGTTGTTATGCACACTGTGATTTGATTATTATCATTA